TAAACTGTGCTCCAAGCCCATCTGCCTCTTCCCCCACTCTGACTTACTTCAATCAGCTTCTGGCACTGGGAGCAGCTTGCAGGGTCAAGGGAATTGGCAGTCTCCAGGGGCAGGGGAATTGGCAGTCTCCAGTCTGGATGTAGAGGGAGGGGTCACTACAAATAAATCAGTGGCAGAAGGAGGTAGGAAAAATATAGCCCCAGGGTTGAGGCGAGTGGCTGGGCTTTCCCAGACCCAGGGCTGCACTCCAAACACATGCAGACATTCAGTTAGATTGGTCTAGCTGTGCCCAGTCTAACTTTTTGCGCCTCTGAGGTACAGTTAAATTAGACTGGGTCAGCCATATTTTGACCAATCTAACCTTCTTTTTGACTAATCAGAACCTGGAACTTCTGTACAGTTTGTATTAACTGGGGCTCTAAGTGTAAGGTCTGCACATAGGTGAACTAAGTAAGATTGGGTGGTCATTTTTAATGTGATCTAACCTCCCCCTAACCTCCCTGAACATCTTTATCCAGTCTGTGTGTAGAAGCCATATTTATTGTCCTTAACTTCTCTTACCAGGTGTAACTCATTATTTTACTTCGCTTTCCTGACTGTGACCCTTTAAGCCCTCTTGTTTTTTATATAATTCCTTAGTTATTTGCCTTTCCTTCCACTGCCTATTTTTTTGAGGCATCTAAGAATCTCCTTGTATAATCACATTGGTCTCCTGCCATTCCTTTTTATGGTTTCACTGTGCTGAATTAGTTTCCTGTTGAGCTTCCACTATTATATCCTTTAGAAACTACCAGCCCTCCTAGGCTCCTTAATCCTTTAATCTGTGTACACATAGGATTTAACCCACTATTTCTCTGAGTGACTTGAAATCTGCCGTTCCAAAATCCAGTATCTTTCTTCTGCTAACCTCATGCTTTCCCTTTCTTAGAATTATAAATTACTTTATAACATGATTGCTTCCCTCTTAAGTTTCCAATCACCTCCACATTCTCAAGTAATTCTTCTTTACTGGCCAAAATGAGATCCAAGATGGATGATACCCTAGTCATATCCTCACTTTCTGGAACAGAAAATGGTCCTCTACACATCTTGGGAACTTATTGGTCATGTTATGCTTTGCTGTAATCCCCCATTAGTACCATGTCACATTTTTGGATAATCTTATTATCTCCTTGAAGAGTGTCTGATCTACCACTTCCTTCCTGACTTCCTTTCCCCTTTTATCTTCACCCAGATACACTCAGATTTGCTTCTTGCTTCCTCCTGGTCGTAGGAACAAACTTATGCATTTGTATATAGCCTGACAACTTTTTTTTTCCCCAAACCCATACTTCCAAAACAGAGTATACCCCTTGTTGCTGATATTCCAGTCATGGGAGTTGAAATATCAATTAAATCACAGTTTTCTCTATAGACTATGACTTCCAGTTCATCCTGCTTGATCCCAGTACTCCTTGTATTTGTACGTGCATACAAGGTATGCACATTTTGCATTTTGACCTACTTATTTCCAAATTTCATCAGAGGGCTCCCAGCCTTCGAATCAACAGCATCTTATCAGCTATGCATTTACTTCCATGATACAACATTCCCTGCCTGGGCCCTTACCTGGGTCATTGACAAGAATGCTACCTGTGTATCCGACCTTCCTGCCTAGAACCTTGTAGTTTCCTTTGATCTGCTTAGCAGTGTTATTGGTTCCTACATGGACAAGCAACAAGGAGTACTGGTCTGAGGGATGGATGAGCTCTGGCAATCTCTCCAGGATGTGGACTCCAGGGGAGCAGCACACCTCAGGTCTGAATGATAGATACATGTTTCTGTCCCACTCCGGAGGGGACCAAACTACCATCTTCTTTCTCTTCTTCCTCACCATGGTGAGTCATGGTGCCCCATCCCAAGGGCCACAGGATTCCTGCTTTCTGGCCTGTGGGATACATCTCTGGTCCTTGCCAGCTTTCATCTCCTCTGATGCCCATTCTGGCAGTACAGATGCAGCATGCCTGAGTGTGCACCAGTAAGCACCTTCTAGACAAAGAGCCCAAGAGGCATTGGGTCATATGCTCAGGACCTGCCTCATAGGCAGCCAGCCAACTAATCATCATGGGAATTAGTACTAACTGAACAAGTAGACGGATAATACTTCTGAGTAGTGCACCAATATGTATCAGGCTTACCTTTCAGAGCTTGGGTTGAATCCCAAGCTTGAGATCCTGCTGTTTTGATTGGTGGAGCCCATCCACCAATCAGGAGGCAGCAAGAGAAATAACATCACACCCCTTTCCTGAGGGGAGGGGGAGAAGAGCTCCCCCAGACCTGATTGAAGACTGCAAACTGTCAGGTCTGGAAGACTTCAGGGGTGGAGCCCTGGAGCTTATAAAATAAGCTGCGCGCCCAGGATGAGGGGCAGATGCATCGGGAACAGAGAACAGAGAAGAGCGGGGCTTAGAAGAGCTGATGACAGCTGCTCAGCAGGGCACGCAGTAGCCCAGGAAGAGCCCCTGAAGACGTCTATCAGCGGGGAGAGCAGCATGGCTCCAGTGGTTAGGCTCTTGGTGTGCAGCTTGGCACACAGCATCCAGACCCTGGGAGCTGCGTGAAGCAGCTTGGGTCTGCAACCTCTAGCATGCGGCCAGAGACATGGTGCACAGGCTGGTGCATGGAACAGGATCTTTGGAGCCCCTGGGGTGGCTCAGGTCCTCAACCCCCAGAACGAGGATGGGAGCTCGGTGCAGGAGGCGCTGCATAGAGGGCGAGAGACCCTGGGAGCCACTTGAGGTGGCTCAGGTCTACAGCTGCTGACACGGGGCAGCAGATCAGTGCAAACGATGCTGCCTAGAGGGTCCAGGAACAGACTGAGCCCTGGTGCTGCACAAGGCTGTCCAGGCCTCCAACCCCTAGCACAAGGCAAAGCTCCCACTACACACAGCGGTGCACGTGGCCCTAAGCCAGGACAGCAGCAGCAGAGTCAGGCAGCAGGAAAACCCAGTGGGGAACAGAGCTTGACTTGGAGAACAAGAGGCAACCCTCCAGGACAGTGGAGTAGTAAGTTACCCTGGAGAGCGGGTCCCCACAGGGGAGGGACCCCCTGTGGGTTGCGAAGGGGCACCACGTGGGCTGCTCCTGGGTGATAGCGGGGGAGCTTAGGAGTCTTTGGGGTCTTCCTCTCCGTTTTGTTACCCCCACACCTCCTTTCCTGTAGTGGTAGCTTGGGAGTGGGGCCTCTGCCCTGGAGGGCACCAGGTAGTCTAAGGACTGCTGATTATATTTGTGGACTGTGCCTTACAGTTTATGTGAATAATTTGAAGTAATAGTTTGCATATGAATAGAGTTATAAGGTTGCCCAATCAATATCCTTTGGTCTGGTTTGTTCTATTGTTCATCTGTATTTTAAATGATAACTCTGTGTGTGTGTGTGTGTGTGTGTGTGTGTGTGTGTGTGTGTGTGTGTGTGTGTGTTATAGGGTTTATTGTTTTGTAAATTTGTACATATATATAATCTATGTCCTTACCCTTTAATAATAAATCTGTATACAGTTAAGTAATCGATTGACTGGACCTGACTCTAGAGGGGACAGAGGCAGCCTCTGGGCTGTTGTGTCCCTCCACAGCACGCTGCCCTGCCAATAATTCCTTCAATTGGAGAGGGAAGTACAAACCCATGTACACCCAGACTACAAATATAACCAAGCCCAAGCAGACACAAGCTCCCAGGCTCAGTTCTAGTGCCAGGCCCCACCTTGGCCTAAAGTACCTGGAACCTACAATTACAGGGAAAGTCCTGCTTCAGTAGTAAGCCCTGGAATTTTATCTGCTAAAATCTAAGTACTCTCTCAAGCCCACAAACTACAATTTTTCTAAGGATTATAATGATCATGTTTGGGTGTGCTTTTGCAGGGCTGCTAAATCTCTATTTTTTTCCCAATGTGAACAGGCGCTAGAGCTTTTCACAGAAAAAAGTTATCAGAGGGTTTTTTTAACACAGGCAAAACTTTCTAGACTGATTCTTGAAAGTGACTGAACCATTTTGACTGAGATTCTCCCCCGCAAAATAAAAACAGCCTGAGGAAAAATGTGGATCATGGAGAGTCTTTAAAAACAGACTACCTATAATGATCACCAAATGTAATAAGCAGTGGCAAATATATATATGTCATGAGCTGCAATTTTATTGTTGTACTTCTCACTTATCTCACCTCTTAGGGCACCTACACACGTGCCAAATGTCTGCTCCAATACATGCTAAATTAATCAAGTCTGCTGAAGCACGGTAATTAGCTTGCTCCAGCAGCATCTGCATCACATGTATTCACTGTCCCTATGCTTCCAAATGACAGCAGGGACACTTTAACTAAAGCTTATCAAATGAGCTTCAGCTAAAGTGCTCGTGTTGCCATTTTGAAGTGTGGGATGCTAAATACATGTGACGCTGCTCTCAGAGCCGCTGTAATTAAAGCGCCCTCCTCCCCATCTCCACTCTGTAGAACGTGTAAAGACATCCTTAGATTCTAAAATATCAGATTAATGCATTTTACATCTATGTATTAGAAAGTTCATGGGGTATCACATTTTAAAATCACTTTCACATAACATTTGTTATAAAAAGTTGCATGAGATTGCTTCTAGAAATATTATAACACACTTTAGTTTTTCATGACTTTGTGGCTTGTATTTAGCTATAAGGTAACTAGATTTTACAAGACAAGATGCATGAAAGACAGAGCAAATAAGTAGTAGTTGAAGTTCTAAATCATTGTTAACATCCAAAATTTGATATAAACTGAAAACATGATGTGAAAAATGACAAAATGTTCTTCTACTATTCTTATATTTGCATAACTCCACTGATGGTTTTGCCACTCACAGATAGTGCAGCCACTGCAAAATCACATCAATAAATTCTAAACACAAGTTCCCAGGTTGGCAGGATAATTAGTCCACATAGCAAGTTCCCATGTTCTAAATGACATCTCTCAGTTGTCAATCACATTTATACCTACCTGTTTCTCTCTCTTTGTTACCTCTGCCAAGGTTGTTTTAAGTGCCTTCACTTCACTGTTTGTTGCTTCTAGCATATTTCTGGCTCTTTCTTTATCCTCCTTAGCTTCATGCTCCATTAAATGTAGTTCTGATTTGACAGCAATCAGTTGCTTCTCAGCCTTCTCTTTCATCTTTCCCAGGTTGCCTTGGGACTTATTTAGCTCCTCTATGGCTCTGTTCTGTTCAAGGGTTTTAATCTAAAATAAACAATCCACAAAGAAATATTACATTCTTCACACTTTCATCAGTGAAAACCAAATATTAAAAATGGCTCCTCAAGAATGCGTATCTGCTCAGTTGAGCTTAAAAAGGCTGTTTTCACTATTATAATACAACAAACATTTTGAAAACACACAGAACAGTGAAAAAGCCAAAACTTTGCCTGTTTTAAAGTGTCTTCTCCCAGGCTCAAAGTAAAGCAGATTTTCTAAGGTAAAATAAAGCACGATCTGCAGGACTAATTTAAATTTTAGCCATCATTACAAGTAAGAATGTGAGCATGTTTGGTATTTTACATGCCATCATATTAACCTGAAATCTTTTGAACAATATTATACATTTCTTAAAGACGCATGATAGATTCTGAAATATCAAAGATATTTTGACATTATTAAACGTCTTTTTCCTAAAACAGATAGGTTTACCAGTTCTGCATTGATATGCTTTTTCCTTTGTTAGTCACTGGTGAAAGGTACCCTTGTACTTCACCTTAAGTTCACTGGTTTCAGACAATTTGGCTTTCAGGTCAGTGTTAGATTCTCTTGCCAAGTCCAGCTCCTTCTGTAACCTCTCCGCCTTCTTATGCAACTTTCTGATAGTGAGGTTGGCCTCATCTCTCTCCACAGCCAGGGCTGTTCGCACTTGTTTCTCTTCTTCCAGCTGAGAGATTTTCTGCCGCAGAAGATTCATGTGCAGCTCTTTGCTCTCAAGCTTTTCTTTCTGAGTCTTCAACTGTTTTTAAGAGAACAAGGAAATTTAAAGCAAGCAAACAAGAATAACTTCAACACCCATTGCAACCAGGTTTCTATAGAAAGAAAATAATAAGAACATCCACCTGTAACACAGATAATGAGGTTAGCTTTTGTTCAACTACCTTTCTCTGTAGGTTGTGCGTCATGGTCTTGTTTTCAATTACTGCATCACCTTCCAGCTTGACCAACTGCTCTGCCCGAACCAGAATTGCATCAAGTCTCATGTCAAAACCAATCTCAGCTGCTATTCTGTCCAACTTCATTTTATCAGAAAGTTGTTCCAGAAATGTCAGGTACTGAAACGAGAAACAAAAGAGTTATAAAATATTTTTTTTATATTCCCCTCAAGTCCTTGAAAACCTAAACCAATTTCATAGACACAAGGGAGCTTGCGAGATCATCAGGTCCAGTCCCCTGCCCAAGGGGCAGGAAATCAGCTGAGATCAGATCACCCCAGCAAGATAAGCATCCAAGCATTTCTTAAAGGTATCCAGAGTAGGTGCTTGCACCACTTCTGGGGAGAGTCTATTCCAGACTCTGGAAACTCAGGCAGTAAAGAAGTTTTTCCTTATGTCCAGTCTAAAATGGACTTCTAGCAGTTCCTCTGTACTGGCAGCCAACTAAGACCATTTATTGATGAAATGAAACAGTATGCTCTACAGATGATGCGACTATCAAAGATTTCTCAAATTGTTCTTTTTTAATAGGTATTTGTTTGAAAACAAACAAACAAACCCCTGACCTCATTATTTAGCATGTTAGTTATAAGCTATTATGGCATGTGGCACTGGCTAGCATAGCTAGCCCAAGAGGCAGAGTATAAGTAGAATCTGTATAAGAATGACAGCTATTCTCAATTGTTCTGGAAGCAGAAACAACATTTTAAACCCATTAGATTATACTCCTACCCTAGGTCCTACTTCATAGAATTCATAGGCATTAGGGCTGGAAGGGACCTCGGAAGATTATCAAGTCCAGCCCCCTGCCCCAGGGGCAGGAAGGCAGCTGGGGTCAAAGGATCCCAGCAAGATAAACGTCCAAATGTCTCTTAAAGGAGTCCAGAGTAGGTGCTTGCACCACCTCTGGTGGCAGTTTGTTCCAGGCCTTGGGGGCTTGGACAGTAAAGAAGTTCTTCCTTATGCCCAGCCTAAAATGGTCTTGGAGGAGTTTGTTACTGTTTGACCTTGTCATCCCTTGGGGCGCTCTGGTGAACAGGTGTCCCCCCAGATCCTGATGTACACCCCTTATATACTGGTAGGTAGCTACCAGGTCCTCCCTGAGCCTGCGCTTTTCCAGGCTGAAGAGTCCTATAGCTCTCAGACTCTCATCATAAGGCCTGTTTTCCTGCCCTCTGATCATGTGTGTGGCTCTCCTCTGGACTCTCTCAAGCTTCTCCACATCCTTTTTAAATTGCGGAGCCCAGAATTGGATGCAGTACTCCAGCTGCGGCCTCACCAGGGCCAAGTAGAGCGGGAGGATGACATCCTGGAATTTGCTAGAGAAGCATCTATGGATGTAAGCCAGAGTTTTGCTCACTTTACCAGCTGCAACATCACACTGGTGGCTCATATTCATCTTGTGGTCAATTATGACCCCCAAGTCCCTTTCAGTCGTGGCGCTAGCAAGCGTAGCACTGCCGAGCCTATAAGCATGCTGTGGGTTTTTCTTCCCAAGGTGGAGTACCATGCATTTTTTGGTGTTGAATGCCATCAGGTTTTCATCCGCGCATTTTCTGAGCCTGTCAAGTTTGGCTTGGATCACCATCCTGTCCTCGGGTGAGGACGATTTACCCCAAAGTTTGGTGTCATTGACAAACTTGGCCAGTCCGCTTCTGACACCAATGTCCATATCATTAATGAAGATGTTAAAGAGCATAGGGCCAAGGACAGAGCCTTGGGAGACACCACTGGTCACTGCACACCATGATGACTGACTTCCATTAACTACCACTCTCTGGGTCTGACCTTGGAGTCAATTTCCCAGCCAGCGGACTGTGATGTAGCCAAGGCCACTGTTGGCCAGTTCTTCTATGAGATGATCATGGGATACCAGATCAAAAGCTTTTTTTAAATCAAGATATATGGTGTCAATCTCCTCTCCCTTGTCCAGGTGATATGTCACCTGGTCATAGAAGGACATAAGATTGGTCAGGCAAGACCTACCCACAACAAACCCGTGCTGTCTATCCCTCAGGATGTTGCCATTGGCCAGTTTGTCAAGAATGGTCTCTGATAATTTTTTCCAAGATCTTCCCTGGGATAGAGGTCAGGCTGATGGGCCTGTAGTTCTCTGGATCTATTTTCCTCCCTTTCTTGAAGATAGGCAGCACATTGGCCTTCTTCCAATTTTCGGGCACTTCGCCTGAGCACCACAAGTTCTTGAAGAGCCGTGCCTGTGGCTGAGCTATGATGCTTGCCAGCTCCTTAAGTACCCTGGGGTGTAAACTGTCTGGCCAGCTGACTTGAAGGTGTCCAGCCTCTCAAGGTGTTCTTTCACATGGTCAACATTGATGGAGGGTAACAATTCTCCCTCACCCTGGCCATCCCGTACCATACTGAGCAGGGCCGTCCCTTGGGGCTGGTGAAAAACCAATACAAAATACCCATTAAGCAGGTTGTTTTTTTTCTAGGCATCGGCTGTCAGTTGTCCCATATGGGTTAGCAGTGATCCAATGTTACCCTTGCTTTTCCTCCAGCTCCCCACATATCTAAAAAAGGACGTTTTATTATCCTTGATGTATGTAGCCAGTTGGAGTTCAGTCACGGCCTTGGCTTTCCTGGTTCACTCCCTACAGGTCTGGACCAGTGCAGAATACTCCTCCTTTGAGGTGGATCCAGTCTTCCATGCTTTATAGGTCTCTCTTTTTAGACACAGGAGGTCCACTAGTTCCCTGCAGAGCCAAGGGGGCTGCTGTGCCCTTTTGCTGCCTTTCCTCTGAGACAAGATAGACATTGCTTGTGCTTTCAGGATAGCTCCCTTGAGGAGCAACCACTCATCCTGAACTCCCCTCCCCTTTGGGTCCCTTAGGGCCTCACCAACCAGCCTCCTGAGCTTGTCAAAGTCAGCTTTCCTGAAGTTGAGGACTTCTGCTTTGCTGACTGAGTTGCCAGCTTTACAGCAGATGGTGAAGGTGATCAGCTCATGATCACTGTTTCCGAGTTTCCCTTTGATTGTTAGGTTGCTGATTAAGTCATCCCCTGTTGCTAGTACCAGGTAGAGCAGTGCTTTGCCTCTCGTTGGTCCATAGACTTCTTGAGTCAGATAGAGCTCATCCATGCACATGAGGAAGCCTTGCAACTGTTTGGATTTAGCCGAGTGCTCGTCCCACGAGATGTCTGGGTAGTTGAAGTCTCCCATGACAAGCATGCACCAGGAGCATGCAGCCTCAGGCAGTTCCCTGGAGAATTTCTGGTTGAGCTCTTGATCCTGGCTAGGAGGTCTATAGTAGACTCCTACCATTGCGTCCCCTGTGCCTTGTTCACCACGCATTTTAACCCAGAGAGACTCCAGTCATCCACCCTGGATGCCAATGTCAGCTTGCAGGCACGCGTAGCTTTCCTTGACATAGAGAGCTACGCCCCTGCCCCGTTTGTCCACACTATTTCTCCTGTACAAGGTATACCCATCTATACCTGTTGCCCAGTCATAGGTGCAGTCCTCCGTTATCACTATGAGATCGTAGTCATTCTTGTTTAGCAGGAGGACCAGTTCCTCCTGTTTATTCCCAAGCTCCTGGCATTGGTGTACAGGCACACAAGTGTCCCACTGGGGGCCCTTGCCTTCCCCAGATTGTTCCGGGGCTAGGGTAGGGGTGGTTTCCCTTAAGTGTCTTAGCCTGCTGAATTTAGAAAGGTTGCCCAGTGGGCTTGCAGTGGTGGTAATCCCTAGTCCCCCATCCCCCGGCGGGCTTAGTTTAAAGCCTGGTCAAGCAGGTCTGCCAGTCGGGCTGAGAAAAGTCTCCTCCCCAGCACAGTGAGGTGGAGGCTGTCTCTTCCCAACAGACCACTGCCTCTCTCACCAAAGAGCGGACTGTGATCATGGGAGCCAAAGCCTTCATGATGACACCAGTGCCACAGTCTTTGGTTGACTACCTCAGTCCTCCTCTCCCTCCTCAGACCATAGCCGAAAACCAGGAAGATTGAGGAAAATATCACGTGTGCCCCCCCCGCCTTAAGCCTCTCTCCCAAAGACCTGTAGCGTCTCATGACCCAGCTAGGATTGCTCCGAGCCATGTCATTTGTGCCCACATGGATAAGGAGCATAGGGTAGTGGTCAGTGGGCCAGATGAGTTTAGGGATTCTCTTGGCCACGTCCCGGATACAGGCTTCTGGGAAACAGCAGACCCCCTGGTCTAAGGGGTCGGGGCAGCAAATTGATCCCCAGTCTCCCTCAGGAGGGAGTCTCCCACGACGACCACTCTACAAGTGGCCTTAGGGAGAGCAGGGATGGTAGCTGTGGGTGAGCCTGTGTTGCCTGCAAGAGCTGGCAGCTCTGCAGGCTCTACTGAGACTGCAAGAGGTTTGTACCTGTTGCAAAGCTCCAGAGGAGAGGGGACCTTCACACAGCGGGCCTTGGGGCTATTGACCACTTTGGTCCAACCCCTGGCAGGACAGTATGGGAGATCCCTGAGCCCTCCCTTGCCCTGGAAGGTGACCTTGGTTAACCCTCTGCCTTCAGGGGGTGATGGGCCTGGCAGTAGGGTTGAGGTCCCTCCCTCCCTGCCATGAGCCCCACCTACCTACAGCTGCACTGCGGGGTCCTGATCAGGGTCCTGCTGGAGGGGTTCTAGGGGTCCCTGGGTTCAACAGGGGTGCAACGGGCTTCCGCCCATGCATCTCACACTGAAGCCAGGGACAAACTGAGGCTTTGGTGTCAGCGGGCCCTTTTTAAACTGCGCGCATGAGCAGGAGTTGTCGACAGCGCTGTGTCACTCTAGGGGCTGGGGTGTCCCTGCCCCATGGAAGAAGGGGATAGGTGAGTGCCCCCCCTTCCCCTGACTCATACACTGGGCAGGACCGGTCGCATGGCTCCCTGGGGGCTGGATCAAGTAGGAGCCGGGGAGGGCATGTCTTTCCTCGACTCCCACTCAGCTGCCCTTCAGCTGACTGGGTTGGGGTCCCTTCCTCCCTGTCGCAGGCCCCACCTACCTCTGGCTGCACTGGGGGGTCCTGATTGGGGTGCTGCTGGGAGGTTCTGGGGGTCCCTGAGCTCAACAGGAGTGCAATGGGCTTCCGCCCGTGCGTCTCATGCCGGAGCCGGGGACAAACTTTTCAAACTGATTTGAAATGATATAAACAATTGTTGAAAAATCTGTATAAAAATAATATCAGAGACAAATGTGGATGGGGGAAAAGTACACACTACTGGCTTTAGAGTCAATTCAGCAGTCTTGCCTAGCCTTTATTCCCTTCTCCACATGATCTTCTCCCCAAGATCAACCTGCAATACAGATTAAAGGAGCCAAACCCAGTTGTGATCCTCTGGTTGAGAGAACAGAATATTTTTTTCCTAATTAGACCCAGGAAATGGAAAAGGAAGAGGCAAAAAGACTTGGAAAAGGAAGAGGCAAAAAATCAGCATCTAGCTCTGCTGTTGAGCAGGAGAGCCAGAGGAATTATAGAAAAGTTGGACTGGAAGGGACCTTTGAAGGTCACCTGGTCCTACTACCTTTCCTGGACAGGAACATCCCTCTCCAAACCATCCCAAAATAAATGCTGTCCAAACTGTACTTAAAGACCTTCAGTCATGGCAATTACAGAAATTCTCAGTAAACTATGCTATCAGCTTGGTTCTAGGTATGACCGTAAACTGTATCTGACTGGAGGGCCCGGTGGCAACATGGTGGGGCTACTCATGGCAGAGTAGCTCCTATAAAATACCACCATGCTGCAACCTCCAAAGTAAGGCAAATATAGAGTGCCTCAAAACCCTAACCATCACTGCCTTTTGGGTATTCCTTGGTTGGAGAAAGGCTAAGGGACATCACCCTGACCAAAATGTGTCCTCACTGAGGCATTAGGCAGTCAGCAGCAGTTTTTATCTGTTGCTCTCTGGCAGAAGCTACAACCATCGAGGCACTGAACGTCTGGATTTGGTCTGATTTTTGGATTCTGTCTCAGTGAGCTAAAGCGGGGGGATGGTTGGTCTTGCATAACCTCCACTCCTCCATACTCTTGCCTACGCATATACATCAAAGGTCTTGGCGATTAGACCTCTTACATGTACTCCGTGATCCAGAGGATCGATGGCTGCCTAGTATGCCAGTAGCTAACCACCTTCATAGTTAGAGAGATCTTCCTAATACCTAACCTAAATCTTCCTTGTTGCAACCATTATTTCTTGCCCTAGTCCCTATGGATTCAGTGAAAGGTTGATTACCATCCTCTTTAACAACAACCCCCTTTGTATTTGGGAGCTGTTATCAAACATCTCCACCCCCTTATCCCCCATTCTTTTCTTCAGACTAAATAATCCCAGATTTTTCAACCTTTTCTTGTATGTTATGTTTCCCAGATGTCTTATCAATTTTTGTTGCTCTCCTCTGGCCTCTTTCAAAATTCTAACTTCCTTATAGAATACTTTTTTCTTGCCTTTTAAGGCCCTTGTTAGCTATATATCAATTTGTGCCTTAGCCTTCCAGATTTTATCCCTACATGAAAAGTTGTCTATTATTCATCCTTTGCAAATGAATAACTTGTACTCCTTTTTTAATTTTTAAGTCATTAAAGAGTTTACTTTTAGCTAAGCTGGTCTCTCGTTGTTTCCAATCCTTTCCTCTGCGTAACGATAACAAGCTCTTGTTCTCTTACTACTGGCTCTTTAAGATACCGCTAACTCACCTGAACTAGTTTGTCCTCAGATTTGCCTCCTATGAGATCCTGCCCAGCAATTCCCCAAGTTTAGTAAAGTCTTCTTTTCTGAAGCCCAATGATTTTATTCTGCTGCTTTCCTTTCTTCCTTTCCTTAAGACCACAAACTCGATCATTTCATCCTCACTGTGACCTAAGTTGCTTTCCACCTTCACATTCTCAACCAATTCCTCCCTATTAGTAAGTAGCAAGTCACAAAGAGCTCCTCTTGGAGGTAGTTTTGCTACCATCTGCATCAAAAAGGTGTTTACAACAGAATCCAAAAATGTGCTAGACTATCTGTACATTGCTGCATTACCCTCGTATCATATCATGATATCATGATACCAAATATCATGGAAATTATAGCCCTCACAAGCACCAGGCCCTGTAATTTAGATATTTCAGTGAGTGTGTTTTTTTTAAAGTCTTGTTCACCTTTCACCTCCCACTACTGGTTTGGTTTGGTGGTATATGGCAGACACGTACCAGGAAACTGCCTTTCATCTTTCCTCCTTTTACCTTCACAGAGATTTTCAACCAGTCAACCTCCCACTTTATTCTGTACCTCAGAATAAGCATGTGTGTGTTTCCCCCTATCTGTTCTTCCTAAACAAGTTATACCCACCCATGACAGTATTCCAGTAGACCTGTCCCATCAAGTTTCAATTATTCCAATTAGACTGTAATGTTATATATGAACTAGGTTCCCCTTCCCTTCTGCTTATTCCCCATATTTCTTGTACCAATATAAACAGCTTGGACCATGGACAGATGTTACATGTGCAACTATGTAGCCTTTCTCAATGCTTTATTACCTTAACTGTTTTATTTTTTACCTTAAAAGGTTTTTTTTTCACCCTAATATCTAGTTCAGGGGAAGGTAAAATATGGCCTGGGGGCCAGATCCAGCCCATGGAGGGATTTTGTCCAGCCTGTGGCAGGTCCCTCGGTACCACCTGGCCCAAGCATGATGGATAGCTCAAGCAATGGCGCATGCAACTGGTCCTGCCATCCCCGGGCACACAGCTGGGCTGAGGCAGCATAGCAGCAGGTCTCCATTTCCCAGCAGCCCTGGAGGCAACTCCTTCTGGCTGCCACTGCTGGACCTAGTCCTGCTGCCCAGGTGCCGTCGCCCATTCACCTTGTACCCACTGCCAGGGACGGGACCCACACGGGCAGAGTGCAAGGCCGGGAGGCTCAGATGGAGCTGGGAGCTGGCAGGGAGTGGCATCCAGAAGTGGGATGGGCAGGCAGGGCTGGGGAAACCCTGGGATCTTGGGGTGATGACAGCATAGGCCCAGGGTAGAGCCACAATCCGCTGCCTGCACACCCCTGCAACGGGCATGAGTTCTGCAGGCAGGGACGTGCAGGGAGCAGATTGGAGCTCTGCCCCAGCTCCAACCTTGCACTGTCACCACCCCACAATCGCAGCCCTGACCCTGGACGCAGTTCCCCACCCACCCTTGCATCCTGCCCATGCAGCTCCCAGCTGGTCTCCATGGAGACTCTGGGATCATGGGTCCATGACAGCACAGGGTCGGGGCAGAGCCCGATGTGATCCACCCACGTTCCTGCCCCAGCCCCATGGTGACTGCCTGGGAGCTGTGTGGACAGCTGCATCCAGGACCAGGGCCAGGATCTTGGGGTGGTGGCAGGTCACATTTCTACAAATGGGAAATAATCTATGCCATTACTTTTTGCTTCTCAGTTTTCAAACCATCTCTCTGCACATCTCCAGATACCAGTTCTCTTTCCAGATGCCTCAATTGATCCTGGAGACTTTCAACTTGTTTTTCTGCTTTCCTGGCCCCTTGCAGAGCATCCTGGTATGACCTGGTTTGAATCTCCAACTGTTCAGTCAGCTTAGCTATTTGGGCTTCGAACTGGGACATCATCTAGAAGCAAGCACACAAACAAGACAGACTAAGTTAACTGACACATAAAGGTCCAAGTCATAAAAATGCTCATCCCCTAAACTATTAAAAGCAGTAGAAAATAAATTCATTTTTCCCCAAATAAAAGTTGTTTTAAAGTAAGGGGGGGGAAACCTTTGGTGTAACTATAAGAAAAAATTATAGAAGCAGCTAAAAAAGCTGCTTCCATGAGTCTCTGAATCAAAAATAGACAGTAACACTGAGATTATATCTAAGATATGCCCATGAACTGAAAGTAGATAGCTACTTTTTTAATATAAAAACTGCATAAACATTCCAAAGATGTTAACTAGCTTGAATTAATTGGCAAACAGTTACTATATTTACTCAAATTCAAGATGAGGTCCCGTGTCACCCCTCTCCCCACAACTTGGATTCAAGTACCAGCCTAGGGCAGGTGGCAGCTCAGCTCCAGCTTTGGCCTAGCCTTGGACCTAAATTCAGAGCTGAACCACCATTTGCCCCAGGCCAGGATGGCTCATTTGAGGGGGAAGGGGACTTGCAGCTGAGGGAGTACGAGGGAGACTGCAGGGTGAATAGGAAGAACCTGCAGTCTGCCCCTGCCCTCCCCCCCCAGCACAACACTCACCCTCTGCTCCCATGCCCCTCTTACCTTCTGCTCTGGTTCCTGTCCTGATCTGGCCCAGCCGGGAACAGCCACTGTTTCTTCCTGGCTGGGCTAGGCTAAGGCTGCTGCTGTTGCTGACTGCCCCAGAGGAGCAGAAGTACAGCAGAAGGTGGGATGGGGGCAAGGTATAGGGAGTAGCATTTTAAATTTGAAGCTGTCTTAGATTTGGATAAATACTATAATTCGAGTAAAAGTAGGCTCACCAGGTGCCTACAGACAGGTGGGGAGGCTGTTCTGACATGCTGTAATTATAGTGCGTAGGAACAGACTTGACTAATCAAGTCTGCTGGAATATGTAATTAGCACGCTCCAGCATCCTCTGCACCTCATGTATTCAGTATCTCCATGCTTCAAAATGGTGGCAAGGTGCTTTAAACCTTACTTGGTGAGCTTTAGTTTAAGTGCCCCTGCTGCCATTTTGAAGTGCAGGGACACTGATACACAAGACGCTGCAGGCGTTTTAATCAGAGCCACTCTAATTAGAGCTCCCCTCCCCACCATCCCCAGTGCACATGTAAAAATGCCCACAAACTCTAGTCTACACCTATTCTGAAAAAATGTTTTATTAAGGGGAGTTTAAAAATTTAATAGCATCCAGCATAGAATGTGTTACAGCCGGTCTTGGTCAACACTACAATGCATATCAAAAGAAATTCTTGAAACATGTCATGGTGTCCACGTTGGGTGCTAATTGTTTTTGAACAAATCACTTCATTAAATAGGTTTGCTAAATAAATTTCCCCTGGTATAGCTAAAGCCAAAACCAGAGGAGACAAAATTGTATGATATGACACTACACTAACAATGTGAAAGCTATACATACAAGATTTATTTCAACCAATTAACATAATTCAAAATTAATCACTCATAACCTGGTGCTCAACAGCAGCAAATTGCTAATTAAAGCACTGCCAAATATTCAATTATTTGGCCATAGTCAAGAAATTGCTTGCTTTTTTTTCCCTACTTTTATAGCCATATAGGTATTTGGTCAAATATTTTATTATCTGCTCAGTTGCAATTTCACACCCTGTTATTTATCCAAATACTTCCTTTATTTCTCCCATCTGCTGGCCTTGTGTTCACAAAGTGGCCTGCCCAGGCACAGAAAACTATGATTAATTCTAATGACAGTTATCACTGCATCAAAGTTCACCTTAAGATCAGCATTCAACTCCAACAGCATAATTTACACAGGTTGAAAAGGTTTTATGGAAATATAATTGATTGCAAAGAGAAAAAGCAGCAAACAAAATAGAACTGAGAGAAAACCACTACCCACCCACATGTTATTCAGCATCATATCTCATTATTCAGCATTGTATCTCATTAAGGACTAGATCTAGTCCTTTATGTCTGGCCCAGGAAAGATGTGCTGGTGGCACAGAACCCTCCACCAGCTGACCCCTTTGTGGCTCACTATGCATAATTAGATCAGTCCAGCCTCACCCCATTTCCCCTTCCCCTCTGTATACAAATGGACAGCTCCTTAGGCACAAAGGAAGGTTTTGTATTATATAAACACACAAGCACAGAAACTTTGTTCCTGAAACAGTAAAACTAGACTGAGTTTGCAGAACAAAGGTCAGCCATGGCAGTGATGGAAAAAGTGTGAATTCACCCTTGGGTAGTGAAATCTATATCTAATAATGCTAACTTTGAAATCTTTGGGAACTGGGTTATTTACTTCAATGGGGAACAACTAAGGCTTGAATCAAAACCTGTTAGTGTCAACAATAATTTCCAGACTTTAATGAGCTTTGCATCAGGTACAAGAGCATATCTACGCTGCCATCATGAAAGTGGCTACATTGTAACGTAGAGATATAGGTGAAAAATTGAAATTAGCTAGCTTGGGTATCATTAGCAATCTAACAACAGCTGCAGAGATCAGCATTGGATAATTTATGTTGAAAAGCTTACTGACTCACAGCTGAAGGTCATTTTCTTCAGGCTAGTACAAACTTTTGGGGAAGGGTAGGATCTCCTCTGTGATATCACCGAAGACTCAATCATTCCACTGGATACCACTTTATACATTGTACATTGTACAAAAGGGATTAGTTCACACTGAGATATAGTGGGATTCCACTTAAGCAAAAAAGATCAGCACAGATGTAGAATTTGCAAGAACAAGGGCCTTATTAAGTATTTTGCTTTATGATTTGAGTAGAGAAAAGCAGTTCACTACATAAAAGAAAAAAGGAGCCATACACGAGTGCTCCAAGTTAAAAACCATTTTTGATGGAGGAAGCTTTACCACAGAAACAGCTCTAAAAATGCACACCTTTTGTACCTTGGGAAATGATGCAGTTAGAACATGCTCAAATCCATTCTGACATAGTTACTGCAAGGTCTGATCTTAATAAAGAACCTCTCCTGGGAGCCAAAGTCATCAAGAGCAGGTTTCACTTTGGGACAGGGCACACAGTTTATTTCCTTTTTCTCTAAACCTAAGGCTCACGGGGACATGGGGCTGAAACACTAGGCTTTCCTCACAAACATGATTTTTTTTTACTCTTTCGTATTTACTGAAGTTCATCTGTAAAGCCAAGGGAGCTAATCGTTCCTCCCCAACTTTTTTTAAAGTTTGTTCAAATGATTAAACTAACCACCTAATGGCCACAGAAGATAAAGAGAGGAGAAAGCAAGGTTTTCCTCTCTCTTCCCATTTTATTATGTTAAAGTTGTAACGTAAACACTGTGGAGGTAAAGAGTGCATCTCCACAATTTAACATTTGGATGGATTTTAAGTTTATCCTTTAGGCTACATTTCCTGGGTTTATAACTCTTGACTTGATAAAAATTACATCATCCCTGAAAATATTCTTTGCTTAAGAATGAACATAAGAACATAAGTAGCGTGATACTGGCTCATACCAAAGGTCCATCAGTCTAGTATCCTCTGACTGTGGTACATACCAGATGCTTTAGAGCAGTGATTCTCAACCCTTTTAGACTCAAGGTACCCCTCAGAAAATGTCAGGTCTTAGTTTTCACTCCTTGTTTGATTATGGAAAAATAATAAAGTAATTGTTCTGCTGTAAAAATGGTGAAAGACACCAACAGGAGCTAATAGACACCAACAGACCCAAATTTTTTTAACACTATGTATTCCTATTTGAAATTTACCTATTTACCTTGTGAATCATGTTTCCATATCTCACAATGATAACATGGTGGGGCATCCCATAATACCCTTGAAAGGATCTCAAGACTCCCCAGGGTGCTGTAGGACCCTGGTTGAGAATCACTGCTTTAAAGGGAGAATACTTATCTACTTAAGTATTTACTCAGATCAAAGATAAGATTGTTTTCCCCCATTCAGCATGGAGAAGAAATCTCCTTTTCTTGGATTCAAGTATAAACTTGTACTGTGGTATCTTGGGGCCAGAGTCAGAGCTGCAGCAGCCTCTGTTCCTTCTCCCACTCTCCTGCTTACCATCAGGGCAGCTCCAGCCCAGGCACGGAGCACATGGAAACTCCATTGCCTGCCCAGCCATGGTTGCTGCATGGCTGTGCAGGGGTGCAGCTTGCATGTGCTCTGTGCCTGAAAGGGAATGAGTCTGAGCTATGCCAGATAGTAAACGAAAGGGGAGGGATAGAGACTGCAGGAAGGGGAGGGGCTTCAGGGAGCAGGGGTGCAGGCACCACCAGGGAGGGGGGCAGGTTGCAGGGGGGACAAGTGGGAGCACCACCTGCCCCACTGCTGCTCTTCCTGCTTTCCCCACTGCAGTGGTGGGGGAACAAATTTAAGACAACCCTTCAATAATTAGATTGTATACATGGGAAATTATAATACATTTATAAATATTCCATATATAGAATCTAATTATTACTGGCAGGGTGCTGTGCATGCTGACTGGGGCTGGGGCCACAGTGTGCTGCCCTGGTGGAAGTGGGTGGGGCTTGGCCCCATGCAGAGTGCAGCAGGAGCAGCTGCAGGCCAGGCTGGATACAATTAATTGGTGGGCACCTGACTGCAGGCTGTATGAAATCACCTGGTGGGCTGGATGCAGCTCACAACCTCTGCTCTACAACCTCCTGTGTCAATGAGTTCCATAAGGTAACTATGCATTGTGTAAAAAAATAAAAAATAAAAAAAAAAAAGAATACTTTCTCTTTTTTGTTTTAAACCTGTCTCGTGTTAATTTCAATAGTTCCGCCTATTTACTGTATTCTGGAAATTGGGACTTGACACCTTATCCTGCCCTCCATGATTTTATAAACCTATATCTCATCCCCCCACCCAGGGCCATTCTTTGTGGGGGGGGGGGGGGGGATTGGGGGGGTTGCCGGGGGGGGTGAATTGGGGCGATTGCCCTGGACCACG